AGGAGGAGAAAGGATAGAGTTAAAAGTATCACTATGTTCCTAAATCTGTATATGTGGAACACATGACATTAGTATACCTTAAATAAATAAAAAGGATCAAAGCCAAAATACGCTGCCAAACATCCCTAAGGCACGTCTTTGGGAAAAAGCCTTTCAATACACAAAAACTATCCCCTATGCCTAACAAACAATTGATCCTCCAGATGTGCAAAAAGTATGTAGAAATGCAGACAATATGAACAAGGCAAATGATACCCCAAAAGGAACAATGCTTTAGTACAGGACCATGAAGAAAGGGAGATTGATGAAATGTCTAATAATTCAAAAGAGACTGTAACATCCAAAGAGAATACAAACAGTTAAAATTAGGAAATCACTAGATGACATTAAGAAATTCAGCAAAGATATACTGAGAAAGAACCAAAATATTAGCAATGATGAAATAAGACAACATGATAACAGCACTGAAAGCCTTAACAAATTGGATCAAGCAGAATAAAGACTATCTGATTTTTTTTTTTTTTTTAAAGATTTAGTTATTTATTTGAATGGCAGAGTAAAAGAGTGAGATTACATCTTTCATCTGCTGGTTCACTCCCTAAATGGCTACAAGAGCCATGTCTGGGCCAGGCCAAAGCCAGGAGACAGGAACTTCATCCTAGTTTTCCTGGGTTATAAGGGCCCATGTACTTGAGCCATCTTCTGGTGCTTTCCCAGGTGCAACATCAGGAAGCTTGATCAGGTGCAAAGTGCTCGACACTCAAATTGCCTGATACAGGATGCCAGTGTTCCAAGTGGCAGTTTAATTCACTGTGACACAACACTGGCCCCAAAATAACTGATCTTGAAGACAAGCGTTTTGAAATGTATCAGTCAGACAAAAATTTTTTTAAAAGAAAAAATTAAAAAGCAAAACCATTATTTGGGATACCATCAAATATGTCCATATTCATCTTAGGAGTACATTATGGATTGGGAAAAAAAGGGCTTAGAAAACCTACTCAATAAAATAACTGAAAACTTCTCCAATTTGGAGAAAACACAGACCACTAAATACAGAAAGCTCACAGAACCCTAAATAAAAATGATCAGAAACGAACCTCACTACAATGAACTTCTGAAACCACTTTTTGTTACTTTAACTAAAACACCCTAGAGGAGTTTCTTGGGAAAGGAAAGGTTTACTTCAGCTTATAGTTTGGAGGGTACAGTTCAGGATTGGGCAGCTCCAGTGGTTGGTGTCTGGTGGAGGCTGGCCATGGCAGAGCAGGTGTAGAGGAACGATCACCTAGTAAACCAGGATAGACAACAGCTAGGCAGAGCTTGAGCTCAAATAATCAACCCTCTCATGAGAACTATCCTCTCAGGGCATGTTCTCAGTGACCTAAAGACCTCCTGTAAGACCCACTTCTCTGTTGCCACAATTAGATAAAGTCTCAATCCTTAAAAATCATTTTTTGGAAAGATTTATTATTTGAAAGTCTTCAAATTTATTTCAAATTTATTATTTGAGAGTCTTCCATCTGTGGGCTTCCATCTGCTAGTTCACTCTCCAATTGGCCATAACAGCCACAGCTGTGCTGATCTGAAGCAAGGAGCCAGGAACAACTTCTGGGTCTCCCACATGGGTGCAGGGGCCCAAGGATTTGAGCCATCTTTCACTGCTTTCCCAGGCCATAGAAGAGAGCTGGATAGGAAGTAGAACAGCCAGGACTCCAATTAGCGCCCACATGGGATGCTGGCACTGCAGGCTGCAGCTTTACTCACTACACCACAGCAACGGCTCCAATCTATCAATCTTTAACATTAAGACATCAAAGGGACCAGTGCTGTGGCGCAGTAGGTTAATCCTCCACCTGCAGTGCGGGCATCTCATATGGGCACCAGTTCTAGACTCGGCTGCTCCTCTTCCAACCAGCTTTCTGCTATAGCCTGGGAAAGCAGAAGATGGCTCAAGCTCTTGGGCCCCTGCACCTGCATGGGAGACCCAGAGAAAGCTCCTTTGGATCGGCCCAGCTCCAGCCATTGCAGCTATTTGGGGAGTGAACCAGCAGATTGAAGATCTTTCTGTTTGTATTTCCCTCTCACTGTCTGTAACTCTACCTCTTGAATAAATAAATAAATAATAAAGATGGAGTTTTAACACTTGCGTTAGTTTTGGGGACACAAGTCCTACCCAACCTATAATAAGCAACACAAAGAAAATTCTAAAACTTGCAAGAGAAAAGTGTCAGGTCATTTTTAAAGGAAATCTCATTAGACAGTGGATTTCTCAGAAGAAACCTTACAAGCCAGAAGAAGATAAAAAGGGATAATCCAGCTTCTGAAAGAAAAAAGCTTCCCACCTAGAATACCTTACCCAGCAAAGCTCTTTCATAAATAAAGGTGAAATAAAAGCCTTGCCAACACAAGTAGAAACTGAATGGATTCATCACCACCCACTAGCCTTACAAATGATACTTGATGCATTACATACAGAAATAAAGATAGGTAACCATCATGAAAGAAAGTGAAAGTATGAAACCTACTAGGAATAAAGAAAGGATACTCAAAACAAAAGAAATTTTAAAGGAAAAATGGCAGGGCTAAGTGATTACTTATTAATAATCTTGAAAGTAAATTGATCTAATTCCATAATTAAAATATATGGGGCACTGACACTGTGGCACAGTGGGTTAAGCTGCTGTCTGCATTGCTAACATCCCATACAGTCACTGATTTGAGTCCTGGCTGCTCCATTTCCAATCTAGCTCCCTGCTAATAAGCCTATGAAAGCAACAGAGGATGGCCCAAGTGCTTGGGCCTCTGCACCTGTGTGGGAGACCTGGCTTCGGATTGGATTCGCTCAGTTCCGGCCGTTGTGGCATCTGGGGAATGAAGGAAGACCTCTCTGCCTTTCAGATAAATACATCTTTTTTTTTTTTTTTTTTAAAGGTATAGCATAAGAAGCCAGTCTGCAGAACATTCCTCCAGTCCATCAGAATGTAAATTTATTTTTTAAAAAAGTAATATATTTAAGAAAAAAAGTATTATATTTAAGGATAAAGTTAATTAAGGCCATGATAGACTTATACATTGAAAACTACACAAAATTATTCCAATATGTTGAATAAGATCTAACAGAAAAACATTTCGTTTTCACAGACAGGAAGACTTAGAATTGTTAAGATATCAATTCTACCCAAAGCGAGCTATAATTCAATGCAATTCTAACAAAATTGCAGATTTTCTGTACAAACAGAAAAATCCATCCTAAAAGTCACAGGGACTTTTAGGACATGCTGTACAGCCAAGACAATCTTCAAGAAGGACATGGGGCCAGTATGGTGGCTCAGTGGGCTAAGTTGTCTGTATACCATAATGGAGTGCAGGTTCGAGTTCCAGCTGCTCTGTTTCCAATCCAGCTTTTTACTAATGTGACTGGAAACATAGCAAATCATGCTTCAAACACATGGACCCTTCCTATTCATGTGGGAGATTCAGACAGAATGCCTGCCTCTTGGCTTTGGCCTGGCCTGGCTCCAGCCATTTGAGGAGCAAACCGGCAGACTGAAGATCTCCATCTCACCCTTTCTATAGCTCTGCCTTACAAAAAAATTTTTTTTAAAAAAAGGGCCAGCGCCGCAGCTCACTAGGCTAATCCTCCGCCTTGCGGCACCGGCACACCGGGTTCTAGTCCCGGTCGGGGCGCTGGATTCTGTCCCGGTTGCCCTTCTTCCAATCCAGCTCTCTGCTGTGGCCAGGGAGTGCAGTGGAGGATGGCCCAAATGCTTGGGCCCTGCACCCGTGTGGGAGACCAGGAGAAGCACCTGGCTCCTGCCATTGGATCAGCGCGGTGCGCCAGCCGCGGCGGCCATTGGAGGGTGAACCAATGGCAAAAGGAAGACCTTTCTCTCTGTCTCTCTCTCTCTCTCACTGTCCACTCTGCCTGTCAAAAAAAAAAAAAAAAAAAAGTTGGAGAACTCAATTATTATGATTTCAAAGATAGTTATCAAAACAGTATGATACTTGCATAAGGACTTCAAAACATTTGTGGAAAAATCGAATTACAAGATAGGTTGATGTAAGTACAATTTTTTTTTTGAAAATCATGAATACTATTTTCATGATATGCGTTTGCCATTTGCCATTAACCTTTTGAAGACCCCCTGTATAGGCTATTGGTATCAAACAGAAAACCCAGAAATAAGCCTATATATATATATATATATATAGCTAATTTTTGACGAGGAAAGGAGAACTTTCAACAAATGGTCCTAGGAAAACTGGATACACAATTCAAAAGAATGAAGTCAGACCCTTACTTTGTCATCACATATACACAAATTAATAAAATTGGATCAAAGATCTAAATGTAAGAATTAAAACTGTAACACACTTAGAAGAAAAAGTATGTGGAAGCATGATTTTGGATTTGGCAAATATTTCTTGGATATGACATCAAAAGCACAAGCAACAATAGAAACAATAAATCAGATTTCATACATTTAAAAACCCTTATGGAAATCATTATCAAAAAAGTGAAAAGACAACCCAAAGAATAAGGGGTAATATTTTCAGGTAATATATCTGGTAAGGATTTAATATTGAGAATATATTTTTAAACACTCCAACATCCAACAAACAATAAATGGACAAAGATAGATATCGAAGATATATACACATTGTAAATAATGCTTAACACGAACAGTCATTAGGGAGATGCTAATGACATTTTAAATAAAAATCACAATGAGACATCACTTCATCAAGCATTGATGAGATGTGGGGAAACTAGAAACCCTGTATATTACTGGTGAGAAAGTAAAACAGTGCATGTAGTCACTGTGGAAAGCAGTTTGGTGGCTCCTCAAAAAGTTAAACACAGAATTACCAAGTGTCACTACTATATATTTAAAAATGCTTAATAAGAGTAACTGACTCTCCAAGATGAATATAATTACAAGTTAATATGAAATATTTCAATTTTATCATGTTTCTATTTTTAATCTATTTATTACCTGGAAACAAGAGAAGCAAAAAGTTGATCAAATTGTTTCTCCATAACCTGCATGAGACTGTCTGTCTCCTCTTTTGCTTGATTCTGTATGTGTTCAAGTACCTGGGGAAACCAACATAAAAACTTAATTTGGTATATTTATTTTGTAGAAGTTATATGGTCAAGGTTTGAGGCTGTGGCATTGAGGGTTCACCTGCAGCTTGCAATGCAAATATCCCATATCACAGTGCTGGTTCCAGTTCCAGCTTTTTCACTTCTGTACCAGCTCCTTGCTAATGCAGCTGGAATGGCCATAGTAGGTGGCTCAGGTCCTTGGGCTCCTATCACCCACATGGGAGACTAGGATGGAGTTCCTGGATCCTAGCTTCTGCCTAGCTCAGCCCTGGCTGTTTGTGCCTTTTGGGGAGTGAACCAGATTGACATTCATTCTCTCATAATATCATTCTCTCTCTTTTAAGTAAATAAATCTTTATAAAAAGAGGTTGTATTGTCAATTTTATTTTTTAAAGATGTATTTATTTATTTGAAAGGCAGAGTGACAGAGAAAGGGGGAGGGAGAGGGGGAGGGAAACAGAAGAGAGGGATCCATCTGCTGGTTCACAACCCCAAATGGCTGCAATGGCCAGGGCTAGGCCAGGCTAAAACCAGGAGCTTCTTTCAGGTCTCTCACGTGGGTGCACAGGGCCTAGTACTTGGGCCATCTTCAGCTGCTTTCCTAGGTGTAGGGAGCTGGATCCGAAGTAGAGTGGCAGGGACATGAACCAGAGTTCATATGGGATCCTAGCACTGCAGATGGTGGCTTTACCTGCTATAGTACAGCACCAACCCTGTCAACTTAATTTTTTTTAAAAGATTTTATTTGAGAGGTAGTTACAGAAAGTGAGAGGGAGAGACAGAGAGAAGCCTTCCACCCCGCTGGTTCACTCCCCAAATGGCCGCAACGGCTGGAGTTGAATCGATTTGAAGGTAGGAGCCAGGATCATCTTCTGGGTCTCCCATGTAGGTGCAGGGGCCCAAGCATTTGAGCCATCTTCTACTGCTTTCCCAGGCCATAGCAGAGAGCTGGATTAGAAGAGGAGCAGCCAGGACTAGAATGGGTGCCCACATGGGATGTTGGCACCACAGGCAGAGGATTAATCTACTGCACCACTGCGCAGTATCAACTGAGTTTTCAAAGTAATTTTTTAGACTTCAAAATTCCATATATGTGATTAGATTATAATAAATTAAGTCACAAGATTTAACTTTAAATCCTGGTATTTGTCATCAAGACCACATCTTGTCATTTTGTACTAATTTGGGAAAATGAACTAAAAAAACCAACTGGCAAGTTTTCTAAACTTTTTATTCATTACAGGAAATGAGTTATTTTGGACAGCTCAATTTCTTTCTGGCAGAATCCCCCCCCCCCCCCCCCCCCCAAATCACAACCTAGAAACTTGAAATGGTAGTTATTCCACATATTTCTACTGTTAAACAGTTTTAAAAACTTTTGCTTAGGATCCATGACTCTTCTCCCTGTTACTTTTCCCCCAATTTCTTCCTTTTGTAATGCCCTTTAGAAGCAGATGACTTGTCTGGATTCATAGGCTCAAAGCTGGAGAGAAATTTTGTCTCAGAAGAATCATAGCCCAAGTCTCACCCACAGCTTTAGATGAAATTGTGGTCTTAGCATTGATGCTGGAATGGAGTGAATGTACTTTTCACTGAAAAAGATATTAATATTAGGGGCATAAGGTAGGTTGGCTTGAGTTGAACTGTGCTTCCTGCATTCAGACACTTAATTCCTAATCCTCAGTTCATCAAATTTGCTCTTCTCTATCGTATTAGTACTTATAATCTTATAATTGCTTCTCAAAACAGGTGTCATTTAATTTCCCCCTTTTCTCAGTAAAAACATTTTTATTTATTTGAAATATGGAAGAAGGGAAAGAGATCTTCTGTATGTTAGTTCACTTCTCAAATGTTTTCAACAGCCAGGGCTGGACCAGGCTGAAGTCAGGAGCTGGGAACTCAATCTGAGTATCACATGTGGGTGGCACAAGCCCACACACTTGAGCCATCACTGCTGCCTCCCAGGGTACACATTAGTAAGAAGTTGGATTGGAAGTATAGACAGGACTCAAACCCAGGGACTCTGATAACAGGAAGCAGGTACTCCAAGAGTTGTCTTAACTACTGTGCAAAATACATGCCTCTCAATGCTTTTCCTTTCTCACAGTCTTACATCTTGATACATTCATCATATCTCTCATTCCTCTTGTGAAATCTAACTTTTCATAGTGACTTTTAGCCAGTCCAAAATGTCCTGTCCTTCTGTGCAAAGCAGCAGCCATGATATAAATCAACTAACTTTTTAAACTCCTTGTTTTTAAATTTGTTGCTGGGTGCTTAAGAACTTCTCTCTTAGGGCTGGCGCCATGGGATAGCAGGTAAAGGCACCACCTGCAGTGCTAGCATTCCCTATGGACCTGGTTCAAGTCCCCACTGCTCCACTTCCAATCCAACTTCCTGTTAATGTGCCTAGGAAAGCAGGAGCAGACAGCCCAATTGGGCCCCTGCATCCACATGGGAGATCTCGAAGAAGCTCTTGGCTCCTGGCTTCGGTGTGGCTCAGCTCCAGCTGTTGTGGCCACTTGGGGAGTGAACCAGTGGATGGAAGATATCTCCCTCTCTTCCTCTGCCTCTCCTTCTCTGTAACTCTTTCAAATAAATAAATACATCTTTAAAAAAAAAAAAGCTTGAATCTTGTCACCACAATAGTAAGTCTTTTTTTTTTTTGATGCAGGGGGTGGGTAAAGCATGGAGGACAGAGAATAAAATTCAGTTGGAAGGTTCAGTCAAGTACTAAACAAATGTTGAAAAGATTATCTGTGATGCTGCTAGGATAAAAATTCAGCCAACAGGTAGAAGTCATAGGTTCTCAGCACAATAATGCTACAACGCAAATCCTGGTGGGCCATGGAGTAGTTTTCCATTCTTTTGTGTGCTTCTCTATTATAAAATTATCATGTCTAACAACTCAGTGCTAATAGGCACTAACCTTAGTGATAATGTGTTACATTTAAAAAGGTCACACTACACTTTTTGACAGAATAATTCAAAATGCTTACTTTTACGGCAGTACTTAATTGTTCAGAATTATATCCTGCTATCTTCAATGCTTCATCAATTTCTTCAGTAGTTTTAGTCTCCTAAAAAGGGACAGGAACCACACATAATTATAAAATAGATGTTTTGATACATTATAGTTGCAAAAACTTCAAACTAGCATTTGTTTACAAAAGTAATAGATTCACTACAGAAACCTAAAACTAAGTAGCAACACTTATATTCCTGTTTATTCCAAGATAAACACCATTAAGATTTTAGAATTTTGGTTAGGATAACATGAAGATACTTTTTTTTAAAAAAAATGAGATTATGCCCTGTAACCATTTCTCAACTTAAAACCATCCTGAACAACTTATCATGCCAATAAATGTATACATACAAGGATTATAAACAGTGTCTGAAAAAAAGATTATAATTTGGGGGCTGGCACTATGGAGTAGTGGGTAAAGCTGCCACCTGCAGGCTAGAATACTATATAGTTGCCAGTTCAAGTCCTGGTTGCCCTACTTCCGATCCAGCTCCCTGCTCATGTGCCTGGGAAAGCAGCAGAAGACGGTCCAACTCCTTGGACCCCTGCATTCATGTGGGAGACCAAGATGAAGCTCCTGGCTTGGGCCTGGTTTAGCCCTGGACATTGAGGTCATCTGAGGGGTAACCAGCTGATGGAAGATCTCTTTGTTTCACTCTCACTCTCTAACTCTGCCATTCAAGTAAATAAATCAATCTTAAGAAAAAAAGATTATAATTTGGCTTTGTTAAGATGTAACTTGAAGCAAAAGTCAGCAAGATGAAGTGCACTCCTTCGTGGCTCATTAATGACTTTAATAAAAAGATTTAGCACTTCATTTCACAGTACCTGGGAATTTGTTGTATTTCCAAATTTAAGCTGAAAAAATATTTAAAGTTATATAGTAGTGATAATATGTAAAATTCAACCCTCAACAAAAACAGTTATTGATGCAGTTAGGCCTTTTGTCACCATTAAAATAACTGGAAAATCACACTTAGAATTTAGAAACTTGGGGCCAGTGCTGTGGCAAGGTGGGTAAAGCTGCCGCCTGCAGTGCTGGCATCCCATAGGGACACTGGTTCGAGTCCTGACTGCTCCACTTTCAATCCAGCTCTCTGCTATGGTCTGGGAAAGCAGTGGAAGATGGCCCAAGTCCTTGGGCCCCTGCACCTGACTGGGAGACCTGGAAGAAGCTCCTGGCTTTGGATCTGCTCAGCTCTAGCCGTTGCGGCCATTTGAGGAGTGAACAGTGAGTGGATGGAAGACTTTCCCTGTCTGTCTCTTTCTCTCTCTCTGCCTCTCTGTAGCTCTTTCAAAATAAATCTTTAAAACAAGAATTTAGAAACCTGTACTTTATGTAAGTTTCACAGAATCTGAATTCACTAGTTTCAGAGAAGATAATATATACAAGTAAATATCTAGAACTCTGAACCAGAATTCTTCAAGGGTAGAATGGCTACCTTAGGAAAAAAGTGAATTGTTTAAGTATATAATAAAACAAGATATCTGAGGAAAGTTTATGTCTGTTACTTTTACACTTCCAAAAGAATCTATTAAGAATCCTGAGAAAAGAAGGTTAAGCTATTGCAGATGAAGTCAAATATTCGTCTTCCTTGTATTTATAATATTTTTCATACCAACATTACAGCTGATGAGTTCAAAAGAGTCCTGCATATGGAGGCTGAATGCTGTACCCCAATACCAAAAGTCAGCTGATCAGCAGTCCTTTTAAAGTCATGAGAACAATTCTTTATCCTGAAAAATGTCAAGGATATTATTTTAAATACCAACATTAATGGGACATTAACCTTTTATTGTGATTTTTTTACCTTTTTCAAAAATAATCCATATAATGACTTATAAGAACACAGTGGGTTCTCGATTATTTATCTGAGTGAGGAGACAGAAATTATGAGTAAATATACTTTCATTTAAACTTTGTTTTTAAAGAATTCAGCTTCTTAAATGCCTAAGAAGAATATCTCTAAATTTACATTGTGATTAACTATTAATCTCTCTTTACCTGTTTTTTTTTTTTTTTTTGGTAGAGATGTTGATAATTGCTAAAGTATCTTAAGTTCATCATTAAAGTTTTATATACACAAAATCAGCTATTAAAAAGTATACTTATAAGTCTGGAAAATTTACAAGAAGTAGTAACTTTAACCAATTTAATCACAAAGAAAAAATTACTTGCTTTCTCTTGTCTGTGGAAGCCAGAGTTTTTAGTTATTTTTATCTTTATATCTTAGACTGGCTAGCACACAAGAAACATTTAGTGTTTGCTTAAGTATAAGCTTAAACTGTGTGGAAGAAACTATGATGCTGAAATATTACTCTTACTGGCCAGCGCCGCGGCTCACTAGGCTAATCCTCCGCCTTGCGGCACCGGCACACCAGGTTCTAGTGCCCGTCGGGGCGCAGGATTAAGTCCCCCTTGCCCTTCTTCCAGGCCAGCTCTCTGCTGTGGCCCGGGAGTGCAGTGGAGGATGGCCCAAGTGCTTGGGCCCTGCACCCCATGGGAGACCAGGATAAGCACCTGGCTCCTGCCATTGGATCAGCGTGGTGCACCGGCCGCAGCGCGCCAGCCGCGGTGGCCATTGGAGGGTGAACCAACGGCAAAAGACGACCTTTATCTCTGTCTCTCTCTCTCACTGTCCACTCTGCCTGTCAAAAAAAAAAAAAAAAGAAAGAAAAAAAAAAAGAAATATTGCTATTACAGAGAGATATATTATGCCAAATAACTTTTCAATATTCTATGAAAAGTGAATGGTAATTCTTGAAAATATGTGAATGTATCAGCCTTGCAACATCCATTATATAATTCCTGTTTCAAAACATAAACAAAGTAGTCAAAAATACATTATGAATCAAAAGATACAATTTAAAAACATACAGCTGTTTAAAGCTAAACTGTACTTAAATGAGGGAACAGTAGTTTATAACATAAGCATTCTTGAGATGGGGACTATAATGTAGAGAAAAACCCAGTAATTTGTAGCAAATCTGAGTACCTTTTGGGTTAGATTCTTTTACTGCGAAAGCTGAAATTTTACTTTTCAATCCTATTAGATATTACATGTATCTAGATAAGAATACAATTAGATAATAAAAATCTTTAAAAAAATGTAAACTTGGGTAAGACTGAGATATGACTTCAGAAAAACTATACAAAATGTAAAAATACTGTGTTTCTTCATCTAACACTTATTGCACCTTTATTCTTATGTCCCACACCAGGGACACAGAAGAATAAACTGTGGCCCATGCCCATAGAGAGGCTTTTAGACTAGCAGGGGAGACATGTGAACAATTAAGTGAATAACAAGTAATATAGTCTTTAGTTTGGGTGTTTTTAAACCTTTTACTAATTCAAAAGAACATTTATTAATAGAAGTATGTATTTGTCAACTCTCACAGAACAATGGAAAAATTAAGAGAATTCCCAAATTACTATTTTTCCTTCTATAAATCATTTTTCAAACCACTTCTTTGGCATAGTGGTTAAGACGGTACTTGCAATGTTCACACCCCATATCAGAGTGCCTGAGTTTGAGTCCTGAATCTACCCCCAATCCCAGGTTCCTGCTAATATCCATGTTGGGAAATAGCAGGTGTTGACTCAAGTACTTGGGACCCTACACACCACATGGGAGACCTGGATTTAGTTCCAGGCTCCTGGCTTTGGCGGTTACAGCCATTTGGGAGGTGAACTGGCAGCTGGGAGCTCTCTCTGGGTCTGTTTCTTTCTCTCTGCATTTCAAAGAAGTAAAATACTTTAAAAAAAAATTCTTAACATTTCTTCCCAAAGTTCTCCACACTGTATTTGTAACCGCTCTTAAGAATCAACTGAAATTTTTTTTCTATAACTCCTTCTCATCTAGCACCAAGAATTATTGTACTATCAACCTTTTTTGCTTGATGTACTAATCCTTGTTTTCTCCACTTTAAATAAGTAAAAACTAATGCTGCTTCTTCAGGAGTTGGAGTCTCCATTTTGCTAACAGTTAAGATACAAAATGAACTTATAGAAACAGCACTCTACAAACATAGATCTAAAAATGACATTTTATAATTGTAAATTATTTCAGAAATACACGGAAGTTTAAATACTAAGTATACACATAACATACATTTTAGGTTGCAATTTTCCCATTAAAGAATCTCCTTTAATACATTCATCCATTGGGTAGTGTCCTTGTTTCATATTTATAGTTGTAGCAACCTAAGTACAAAATATTAAAAAAAAAAAGCACAAAGTCATTCAATAAATTCCCATTATCTAGAAACCAAGCAACCATGTAAATGTGTTTCACTGGCAGCTAAAATTAATAATAAACGTAAGGATCCTGAAACACCCTTTAAATCAAGGGAAAGCTGTACTTACATAATGCTTTTTACTCTGTTTAGATTTTTGGAAAAGTGTCAGTAATTTGGCAACTACTAAACAGGACATTCAGCTAACTAAAATATGTCATTCTACAATCCTAAAAGACTACTTGCAACATTGCAAAAATTTAAACATTTTACAACATTCAAAATTGTAAAATAGTAATAAATTTAACAAGAGAAATATAAACTGTTAAAGAGTTTGTTGGAGGTCATAAAAAAAGAACTGAATAAATGGGCATCATGCCACGTTCCCAAAGACAAAGCCTTAACATCCTAAAATTCACCTAACATAAAATTAATACAATTCTGAAGTTCATAAAGATACATTGTATAATGACAAAAAAAAACCCACTTTAACATGATTCAGTATATTTATCGATTTACCACATAAGACTATCATAAAGCTCTGTAATAAAACATGATACTGGTAAAATAAATGAATAGAATAAGGCTTTGAAATGAATCTACCTATCTACAGGAACTTAATATAAAATATAGGTGGAATAAAGATTATAAATGGAAGAAGGATTATAAACGGTGTGGAAAGTCAGCTTATTCTGAATAGTTATACATTCATTTCATATAAAATACATTATAAAAAGATTATATGCCTTTAAATACACAATCATTAAAATATCTGTGTATTTTCCAATCCAGCTCTCTGCTATGGCCTGGGATAGCAGTGGAGGATGGTCCAAGTCCTTGGGCCCCTGCACCTGCGTGGGAGACCTGGAAGAAACTCCTGGCTTCGGATTGGAGCAGCTCCGGCCGTTGCAGCCAATTGGGGAGTAAACCATCGGATGGAAGACCTCTCTCTCTCTGCCTCTCCTCTTTCTGTGTAATTCTGACTCTCAAGTAAAACATAAATAAATCTTCAAAAAAAAAAAAAACCACAAAATATCTGTGAATATGTAATGTTGAGATAGGAAGATCTGCTGTGTAGTCAAAGAAAATCTAGAAGCTATGAACCAATAAGCTAAATTTAATAAAATCAAAAGTGAAAGACTAAGAAAATAGCTTCACAGGACAAAGAGTTAATAACTTCTCACATTCTTACAAGTCAGAAAAAAGATAACTCAAAAGGAAAACAGGTGAAGTTTGAGACCTGTCAATATACTCAAATGTATGTATGAAAAATTGCTCAATTTCACTGTTAGAGAGGGAACTGCAATTAAAAACAGTTCTTGCTATCAAACTGCCAAGCACTAAAATAAATATGACAAATCTAAACACGGATTTTTTTGGATCTAGAAATTATAGACCTTGCTGATAGGATTTTTTTGGGGGGTGGGGGTGGATTTGAGAAATTACACAAAATTAGAAAAAAAATTTGAAAACCACCTAAATGTTTCGCAGTAAAAAGAAAATTACAGCACTTATGTACAATGGTTTATTATGCAGTTATTAAAGTAATGTAGATGACTTTCATGAATTAGGTGAATGTTGCTTTGTTGCTTAGAGAAATAAAGCAGACTACTAAAAGTTACATTCTCCCATTAAGTAAATGTACATCTTTTTAGGGAAAAGGGTATTCTTTATTCCTTTCTTTTTTAAAGATTTATTTGAAAGGTAGAGTTACCGAGAGAGAAAAGGAAAGACAAAGACATCTTCCATCTGCTGGTTTACTCCCCAAATGGCCACAAAGGCCAGGGCTGGGCCAGGCTAAAGCCAGGAGCTTCATCTGTGTTCTTCACATGGGTACAGGGGCCCAAGCACTTGGGCTATCCTCTGTGCATTAGCAGGGAGCTGGACAGGAAGTAGAACAGCCGAGACTTGTACTGGTGCCTATATGGGATGCTGCAGGCCATGGTTTTAACCTGGTGCACCATGGCACTGACCCCAAAACCATTTATTCTTATAACTCACTATAGTAAGAGTTTTCTTTTTCCCCCATTGCCTATCATTTAAATTTTATTTATAGGGGTAGTTTTTTGTTGCTTATAAATGAAAAAATGTGGTCAAATTTAACAAGTATTGTTCTTTTTCTGTCTCCTGATCTCTGTCTCTAGATCTCTCTATGCCCTCCTTCTCCCTCTTTTCCTTCTTCACCCCTTCCCTCCTGTCTGTCGGGTTTCCCCCAATAAGCATTTTCCCTTAAAAAAATTTAACAAGTATTTCTTCTATGGTTTCTGACTTCAATGATATATTTAACAAGGCTTCTTTATCCAAGATTATACAGTTATTTCTACTTTCTTCTGGTTGACAACTGAATGTGTCTAGTCACATGAGATTTTAGTATACGTTAAATTTTTTTAAAAAATTTATTTGACAGAGTTAGTGAGAGAGAGAGACAGAGAAAGGTCTTCCTTCTGTTGGTTCAGCCCCCAAAACAGCTAACAGCTGGAGCTGTGCCGATCTGAAGCCAAGAGCCAGGTGCTTCCTCCTGGTCTCTCATGCGGGTGCAGGGCCCAAGCACTTGGGCCATCTTCCACTGCCTTCCTGGGCCACAGCAGAGAACTGGACTGGAAGAGGAGCAACCGGGACTAGAACCCGGTGCTCATATGGGATGCTGGCAGCGGAGGATTAACCAAGTGAGCCATGGCGCTGGCCCAGTATATTCTTTCCTTATAGCCCGATATATTTTGTACTCAAGTCCAAAAGCTCAATGTCATTATTTCTAAAATAGTAGCTAAGTGTGATCCTATTCTTGAATAAAATATTTTGCTATGCAAAATTAGAAAATGATCACTAATCATTACTATCAATCAAAAGCAGAGAAAGTATGTTACTAGGAACCATACAGACATGAAAAATAAAGAATCTATGGTCACCAAACTTAGAAGTAATAAAGGGATAGCTATTAAAATAAAACAAAATCATTTTAGGCTTAAGTTTGAAGTAAACAGCATTTTCTAGGCCTTCAATATTATAGGCATATTATAAATGTAAGTCTAATGTGATTATCTAGAAAATTTCAGAGCATATACAACATTCAAAAGTAATAAACTATATTCCCTAAATAATCTATCAATTCAAACTTTCCACTACTTAAAACTAGATTCTTCTATTTTCTCTATACCTTTTTTTTTTTTTTTGACAGGCAGAGTTAGAGAGAGAGACAAAGGTCTTCCTTCCGCTGGTTCACACTACAAATGGCCGCTGCAGCCGGCACACTGTGCTGATCCAAAGCCAGGAGCCAGGTGCTTCCTCCTGGTCTCCCATGCAGGTGCAGGGCCCAAGCACTAGGGCCATCCTCCACTGCCTTCCTGGGCCACAGCAGAGAGCTGGACTGGCAGAGGAGCAACCTGGACAGAACCAGCACCCCATCTGGGACTAGAACCCACAGTGCCAGCGCTGCAGGCAGAGGACTAACCTAGTGAGCCATGGCGCCAGCCTTCTCTATACCTTATTCCACATAAATATTAGGTGCTAGTAAAATAGAAACTTAAAAAAAGAGTGGTGACAATTTTAGGAAGCTTTCTTGAAGGACTCCTTTAAATAGGGATTAGCTCACCAGTGCATCTGCAAGATCTCAATATAGTCACTGGACAATTATCTGGGCTAATGGGGTGGGACAAGGTATATGGGACAGGTCACATATCTCCCAAAGAGTTAAAACTAGTCAAGATGATACAAAATAGATTTGTCATAACCCTAAAATCAAAGCCATTATTTGTGAACATATTATAAGTGTTCTTGTAGATATTACCCAAAATCCTAAATACAGTTCAAGTACAGTGACTTAAGGCCTTTAAGCATAACATCACTTTCCCCCAAAAGCAAAAAATTACTGCTAAAAATATTTTTTTGATAACAATATTAGACTAGGATGGACACTGGCAGGGTCACTTCCAGTCACCTGATCCTTTCCTTTTCCTTCACTCACCATCAGATTGAATGCGTCAGGGATCTACCGCAACCACAAAAGGGGGCTCCCTTTGTCTTAACAACAGAGCCGGCCACAACTGTGGAATCTCAGGTCAAAAAGGGATACCCACAATAGAGGGTATGACTTGTAAAACATAAAATTCTAAAATAAGACAGCTTTTAATATGTACATCTTTATTATAATTCAAACTTCCATAAGTTACAACACATATATGTGTATTTTATCATCTTTAAACTGAAACCAGTTAATCCACATGTAAATAATGAAGGAATGTGTTAATGATCTGTAAGCTTG